TTTTGATTTTAACATTTTAAATTAAAAATAAATTAAATTGAATTACAAATTTTTAAAAATAGAAAGGGAGGGGGAAAATTGGCAAAAAAATTAGGGGGGGGGGGGGGGTATGAGAAACCTTTGACCTACAATATCTGTAGCGTGTGTCTGAACCAACCTGTAACGCATTTTATTTTTATAATATACCGATTCTTTGAGATGGTTATATTCTTTTATCTTACTTTTATAACAACCAGTTGACTCTCTTATAATCTTAACCTCACTGCTTCGAATAGTTTCCTCCATTTACCGGTATTTTCTTGTTTTCTATTTATTTTTTATTTTTTTTTTTTGTGTGGTAGATGTCTGGCCATGCCTCTTGGACAGCTGTCTTAACTTGTCTTGACGTTGTAGTGCACAGGTTAAAACGAAAGACAACCGCGTTGCATACAGTGGCGTGGATGGGTGGAAAGGGGTGCCCCGGGGGTGTCAATTTTTATTTACGTAAAGGGGATGCGTTTTCGACCAAATGCAGAGGGTTTCTTTTTTCTGGTGGCAGGGGAGTTCAAAATTGGCACTAAGCTTAGCTACGCCCCAAGCTGTTTAATAATAAGCATAATCATGGCCAGTTCATTCCCTTCGCCCGTAGCTACCAAGGGGCACAAACGTGTTGAGTTATGCGCTAATTTAGTTCGCGCTGGTAAAGTTTTAATAACAATGCAAAAATTATAAATAAATTCCATGTAATAATAAACGAATTATTTAAAGTCTTTGTCTGAATGCAAGAGTTATTGTGAAAAAGGGGGGTTGGCATTCTTTACTATCTTCTATTATTAATTTGAAAGCAAATGTATTTTTTTTTTTTAGCAACTTCTAATAGTTTGTAGTTCGCCATGTTTTACAAACATTCTCTGCAATCGAAGCACGGGGTAAATGTGTGTGTGTGTGGAAGGTGCGGGGAGGGGGGAGGGGGGGGGGGGTACATTTTAAAACAAACATAATATGTGTATAGGAGTGACGTCGCTTCCGTCATAGAAATATCTCAGAACCCAAAAAAAAATTGCATTAGGAAACATTGGTAAATAGATCATTTAAAATAAAATTGTGACCATTGTATTTGACAATTTTATGTTTTTACATTTCAAGAGCGAAGAAATTTATTTTTAGCTATTTTATGTATGTATGTATTGTATTTTATTTATTTTAGTCTGGGCGAGGGGGTTAACCCATAACAATATCGATATCTTGAATATAGAAAACAAAAAATGACCATATTATTTAGATATTCGTTAAATGTAGTTTATTTCGGTTTTAAATTGGATGGGACATAAGAATGTTTATATAACTAAGAGCTGTGAAAAAAAGAGCGCGTTGGCATACCTAAAGGGGAGCCGGAGGCGTGGGGTTACCGTCCCTTGTTGCATTCAATTAATGTTTAATGATACCATAATAAACGATTTGTTTGTTGGGAGGCGAGGGATGCCATTTTAAAAAAAAAAAAATTTTGCCGGATGGAAAGCGGGATTGGGGGGACTTTGGCAGCACAAGATACGCCACTGTATGGGAGGACGCATTTCATAAGTGTAAGAGTATTTCAAAGCCCGATTAGGTTACACACCGGAAATAGATTATATATAATATATATATATATATATAAAGATATATATATATATATAAAGATATATATATATATATATATATATATATATATATATATATAAAAATATATATATATATATATATATATAAATATATATATATATAAAAAAATAAAAACACATATATATATATATATATATATATATATATATATATAAATACAAATATACATATAAATGTATATATATACATGTATATATAGTTTTAATGAAATAATGTATTTAACATTCCGAAAATATAGTTCAGGTGGAGGAAGGAGAATGCGTAGGTGTTTAAGTGGATGACACTATTAGTAAAAAGCCGGTTATATTGTAGTCGTAAAAAAAAAATAAAAAAATAAAAAAAGAGGCTTTAAGATTTTCTTTTAAAAAAATAAATACTTGCTATATCAATGTCGGGAAATACAGTTCAAGGACGTTAAAACTCTGAGTTGGATTCGTTACATTCGTATAACGATATCAAGATTCTCTTTAAAACTAAGGCAAACGCGTTTTTCCCATTGTTACAACAAAAATACTGAGAATTAAATCCCGATAATGTTATAGATATTAAAATTAGATATGCGTATTTTTTTATTTTTTTTATTTTTTTTATTAAATTAAACTTTTTTTTTTTTTTTTTTTTTTTTAAAAAAAAAAAAAAAAAAAAAAACAATTTTGATAATAAATTTCTTCTTTGTATTTCAGGGGCGTGAAAAGGGTTGGGTACACTTATATTTTTAGAATATAAATGTTTATCAAAACCTAATGTTTTTTATTTTTTTTTTTTTTTAAAGTATTAATCTATACATAGATCTTCGTCTTGGGGCATTCATTTGCCGTCCACAATAATTTTCCATTCATCACGGTTTTGTGCTTTCCTTTCCAGTTGCTTCCAGGTGTATACCATATTATGCGTGTCTGCCTCTAACTGGCGTCTCCGTGTATCCTTTGGCCTTCCTCTCTTACTTTTTCCCTGTGGATTCCATGTTAGCGATTGCCTGGTGATTGATGGATACATAGATACTTCTTAAAAGAATAAGGAATGTCTGATTTAATATTTCCTAAATGAAAATCTCAAGGGCGTGGAAAATTGTGATGTATGTAATTTTCATGGGATCAACCCGTGTTTCAGTAAATACATAAAATGTGTATGTTTAAATGCTGAGACTTCGCGAAAGTAGTTAGAAAGTAGCACACTATGCATTCCATTTCTGCACCGTTGGATCCGATTCTTAGGCTTTATTATACGTATATAATATATAATTTCCATATATATTAATTCTAAATTTTATAGTTAGATAATAAATGCACATTCTATAGATGTTATAGAAAGTTTTTAGAAGTTCTGAAATAATATAATATGAATAAACCTATTTCAGCTCTTGTATTTGACCGATTTACTTATCTAAAAGCTCAGTTATGGGCCTCTAGGATCTAGGTGACTTATTAATTCAAAATATTCCCGTTCCTGACACTGACTACGCAGGCGAACGGGAATTCCTTAAATTATATTATTAAGACTTTCATAAGGCAGTTGGTCTCAAACTAATGAAACATCCTCTCTATCATTCAATAAAGTAAGTGTCGCTGTGATTTACAATTTCAACAATTTACATTATAATTAATAGATAAATTTGTATTTTCTAAAAAGAAAATGGTCGTAAGCTTTTACAAAATTTACGTTACCTGTAATCGCTTCACATTATAAAAGATCCATAATATATATACTTTTAAAAATTTATTCTTGGAAATTCCCGTAATATAAATATATTTTTTGCCTCATTATATCTCCAACCTTCTAACGTTAGATCTAGGTTTATAAAATTGTTTATATTGTGTTATCCAAATTTCTGTTTATCAATCTTTGGAATATTGATTTTAAAAAAGCAACCAAAAAAAAAAAACAACAAAAAACGATAGAATAACCTTCTAGCCTGTGTCGTGAAAAAACAACAACAACAAAAAAAACCAAAAAAACAAGACACTTCTTAACAGAAATTAAAGCAGTCATACACTTCAACGATTTTTTAAACCTTAAAAACGTAATGAATAAACACGAAATGAATGACATTGCCCATCAATATTTTCGAGGATTGACATGGTTTGACCCGTAGCCAACAGCGTTTGAACTGCACCCTCATGACGCAGTCGCTAAGGATATCAACCCCGAAAAATCTTTTATTACTACAACAAAAGAAAAGACACCATGTTAAGTTCGACCTAATTTTATTCTCCGCGACGCCAGCTCGTTGTGTGTTCCAGGCCCACAAGCTTCCGTAAACATGTTATTGTGTTTGTTACAAATTTAACATTGTTTTGAAAAATAAATGCGTGACATCAATCAGTGAGATGTACACGGAACCCGACATTGATCATGTATAGTAGTGAAGACATTGTGTGATGGACAGTGGGAACTTAAGAAAAGTAGCTTTAAATAATTTACAGTCTGTCGGATAGCTTCGTCCTACGTTCAAACATTTTCAGCCCTTCAAATAAAATTACATCTGTCCTTGTTTTTTCTACCCCTCCCCCCTCCCCTTCCCCTTCCCCCACCCCATCCCACTCTCCTCCAACATTACCTAAACATTATTGGATGAGTGGTAGAAAAAAAGAAGATATTTTGTAAAATTCCTAATCTAGTCTGTATAAAAAAATATCTGTATAGATAACCAAAATACAACTCAACCCCTCATTTGTACCGCTATTTTTAAAGAACTAAGAAAACGCCACTTATAATTTTGACAGTTTTAATTTTTTATTTTTTAAATTGTATTTCTTCAGGAGGCTAAAACACAACACAGCTGGGACTCATCTCAAGGTTATAACACATCTCCTGTTTGTTGAAACACGCTCAATTTTTTACACGCACAACCGACGTCAAAAAACACACCTGGCTTTTGAAACATTTGGCTCCCAAGCAGAGACAGGACGTTCCACATCTAAGGGGATAAATCGTTTTAAAATTTCCAACTCGCCTCTGCTTTAACTAGATATTACGCCATCACAAATGGCTTACAATCTCGACCGCAACCCTTTAGGAGCCACGTCATCTGATTCACTGACACAGAGAGACTCCACGGAGAAACTTCTGGAGTCCATCTCTGGGCTGGAAAGGGCCAAAATGGAAAGCTTGTTCTCTTCATACAAATCTGTTATTAAAGCTGTGCTCAGTGTTAGCGAGGATCTCCCAGCAAGTTTCATATTTTACTGTGCCGACAAGATGGTCAATGAAGGGAAGGAGATTTCTTCCCAGGCGCTGCTAGTAGAATGTGATAACCTCTTGGACATGATACCAGAAAACTCGTTGCTACAAATAATAAATAACATTGGAGACATTACAATTTCCAGTCTCGAGGCAAGCGAAATTTCAAATTTGACTATTTCCAACATAAGTGGGGCTGAGAACCCTCGGAGCAGTTCATCCGATGAAGCTTGTTTTCAGGACACAGCCAGATGTTCATCAGCCGACGGAGGAAATGCTTTCAAAATTCAGGCGAACACAACAGTAAAGAATGTAGTCTCAAATAACGTCAACTTGGTCGATGGTGTTGATTCGGCGCATGTGCGGAGCACACCAGTGTACGAAGACGAGGTCGACAGGATCAGTCTAACATCTTTCCCGAATTATCAGAGTTTGGATCCAGGGTCTTCTGCTACGGGGAAGGGTGGGGTCGTTGGCGCTGTTGGACTTTTCGGCTTAGTCCACCCTCCACTGAAAACGCAAACTAAAAACACTGCTGCCGATCTTTTAGTTCAGGGGGACGGTTCGAGGTCTTTAGACTCCAAGCAGTGTTTAATGGCCGTGACCAGGGAAAACGAGTTCTTGGAGACGAGGCTCCAGTGCGTTCTGTGCAAGGCACGACCTCGGGCCACCACTTTCTTGCCTTGCGGACATTTTCTTGTGTGTGGCCCGTGTTCAACTGACATCTACGTTTGCTCGATGTGCCATGCACACGTGTTGGGCGAGGTGACAACACGGACGGTCTCACACATTGACAGAAACCCTTAAGAAGAATACTTTACATTTCAAAATTTTGGGTCAGTTTGTTTTATTTTAAATTTTGAACGAAAAATGTCGAACAGCTCATCGATAGCACAAATGTACACATATGAAACCGATGTGCAGTAAATATGCATAATATGTAAGTGATGTGCAGCGACATAAATCCGGGTGCATTTATGAAGTCACACAAATGGAACATAGCAATGGATGAGAGGAACACAAACTTAGAAAATTCTTGAAGGAGTTTTCTCTTACAGGTCAGCTGATGTGTCTATGGATCAACTTGTATAGTTTCGAAAGTTGTAGTAATTTAAGCATTTTTTTAAAAATTATGAACGCATTTCAAACGGTAATGTCATGGAAGTCTTCGCTTTGAAACCAATTGAACTATTGTTTATAATATCTGAGTTAGTTATTCTCAAACAGCTCAATGATAGTATCATTGATGTTTAAAAAAAAAAAAGAGAAATTGAAGAGTTCAGTTCATAGAATGGCCTTGTAAAGTAGGAATTTGTTTTGCACTGAGAATCAAACGATTGATGTTATTACGTTAAGAATATGTACGTGGAATTATTTTTAAAAAATTTATATATTTATATATATATATATATATATATATNTATATATATATATATATATATATATATATATATATATATATATATATATATATATAGAGAGAGAGAGAGAGAGAGAGAGAGAGAGAGAGAGAGAGAGAGAGAGAGATAAAGAGAGAGAGAGAGACGACCTCGAATTCTACAGTTAAAATTATGTATATGTTTCGAAAATTGTTCTAAAACTTTATCTTTACAAATGTAACACTGCCATGCATCACATTGGGCTGGTACCGTGTGCCATGTGTTTAGTCCTGCAATTAAAAAAAAAATTAAATATCATGTGATACACTGTTCACACTAAAATATTCTCAAAGAAAATCATGTGGCCCTGATCAGTCTTTCACTGTCGTACTTATTATGTTATTCAATCTCTGATTAAATTGATTCGTTTGAGAATGCTTTTCTTTGTTTTTTTTCAAACTGATCGTCAATATTAACAAAATAAAATGAGAAGAAAACTTGACTGTTTAGAAAATACAATTGTTTTTCTCTGGTTGTGTCAGGACCGAAACTACGGCGTCCTGTGACTCATCGCTGACCCCATTTCATTTCTCTTTAAGGAAGCTAAGTGGATTTATGTCAACCCTATTTACAGACTTTATGTTTTTATCTTGTACCACTCTCAATGGAAAGACGATACAAACCAAAACAGGAAAGCGTGGAAATATCCGGGGGGAAAAAGGTGGGGGTGGAAATTTTTTTAAACAAATATCTATATTGTTTCGTTTCTTTAACTTTCATTTCAGCATTTTTGTCTTCCTTTCTAACAAAAATTTCATTGAATTTGTTTATATTCATTTTTTTTATGTACATTGATATCCTTTTTGACAACCCTCGACCCCCCACCCTCTCCTTTAAACCCCTTCCCGATGACCTTAAAACTCATTTGTCTTTAAAAAAAATTGGAGCAATAAAATTTGAGAAACTATCAGACATATGTCTTTTGTTTGATTTATTTGATTATATTTTTGTAATAAGTTTGTTTAATCTGCGAGAATTTCTAAAGTAAAAAAAAAAAAAAAAGATAACTTAACCTTTGTTCTGTCAGTCACTTGTTTAAAAAAAAAAAAAAAAAAAAAAAAAAAAAAAAAAAAAAAAAANCTCATACGAGAAGACGACGCAGTCCTAAATAAATCACTAGAAGGTTTCTATTATAATACAAATGGTATTCAACACTTTCCTCGACAAAATAAAATAAAAAAAAAAAAAAAGATAACTTTACCTTTGTTCTGTCAGTCACTTGTTTAAAAAAAAAAAAAAAAAAAAAACTTATACATAAACACAAAATACGGTTCTGAATTTAACATTGAGTTTTTACCCGGACATCAGATTTGGTGGTTGTTTCTGTAGCGCTAGGTGTTGTACATAGGTAAAGTTTTAAGTACACATTTGGAATGAAACTTCAGGTGTACGACATCTCAACATTTTAAGATAAGATCAGATAAGACTCTTATATTGATCAAATTAAATGGGCATGTTTTTTGATTGCATCATACATCTTCAGCACACAAATAAAACAATTTGAACACAAGCCATTTATAATAAATTATCTCAAACAGCCATTGAGTGAGTTCTCTTAGCCAAATCGGGGACTCATTAGTTCTCATTCAGATGTGTGACTTCAGAGGGAGCACGCCGGTAAATTCGTACAGATTGGGGAACAAAAGAATTTGTATATCATTCAGTCTTCGCTTATATCTTTCAAGATTATTATAATATACGCTTTACGTCAGCTGTTAAAGTGTTAAAAGTTCCCCATATTATAAAATATTGTTTTTTTTGTATAGAACGAAAGGGTGAAAAAAAAATACGTTAAAAAATTTAAAAACAAAGTTAAAATAGCACAAAATATATTAAAGCGGAATGACTATTTTAAATAAATATTTTTTTTAAAAAGTAAAATAAACTATGATAACATGAAAGAAACGGTAACAATTATCTTGCGCGGCAATAACTTTGAACAGGCAAAATTCATCCAACATTTATATGAAAATAAATTCCTTGAATTTTTGTGTTCTAGTTTCAATGAAATCTAGCAACTAATGCTTTAAATTAATGCATTCACTATTTTAATAGCAGACTTGACCAAAAAATAAATGATGGTAGTAGCATTGAGATTGTCAAATGAATTTGTTTGTTTTTTTCATCAGGGATCCTAAAAGTTTTGAGTGGCATGAACTTCAGAAATTTTCCACATAGCCCCTAAAATCACTGTATTTTTTTGTGTATGTCCTAGTGCGTTGATACTGTGGTCTGGCGCTTTATCCAGTTTGAGAAGAAAACCCACGACTTTGTTAGTATTTTTTTTAAACTAAAATTTTTAAAAAAGTGATGTAAAAAAAATCGTCATCATTTTTGTCCAATAATTTTTTTTTAACTTTTTTTCCCCCCCCCCCCCCCACACTTTTTTTTTAAACGCTCATATATCTCAACAATGCCTGTCTCCATCAAAGCTAAAAGGCCTCCCTTGGCAGGGTGCTTTCTTTTAATTGGAGAAAGACTTGAAAAAATCCTAAGAATACTCAGCAAAAGCTTGATAACCTTCTTCAACAATCATTACCTCTTAACACCTTTTGAAGCATTATAACATTGAGACTGCGTTCAAGCCGCTGGAATGAAATAGTAGGGTCCCTGTGCCTCATCCAGGACACCACGTCCTTACTATTTTCTCAAGCACCAGCGGCCATAACCCCTTGATGCTTTTCAGCTTGAGCAAACTTTCCGTGATGAATATTGAGTTACCTCTCCTTGCGCGCGGCACGTGCATAGCCCGAGTTTTGGTTCAGACATCGTCACAGGGACCAGTTTCACCTTGCTCTAAGTGAGTTCTTCTTAAGTTTACGGTTTAAAGGGCCGTATCAGTTGTTCTAAAAATGGGATGGGGGAAAAGGGGGGGGGGGGAGGACCCAGATAAGGCTCTCGGCTTGCGTCCATATTCCGTTGGGTCGGGTTGTTGCATTATACATGTACTTTTGACCCGTGTGAGTTCTGCTTAGGTTTACGGTTTAAAGGGCCGTATCAGTTGTTCTAAAAAGGGGATGGGGGAAAAGGGGAGGGGGGGGGAGGACCCAGATAAGGCTCTCGTCTTGCGTCCATATTCCGTTGGGTCGGGTTGTTGCATTATACATGTACATTTGACCCGGACGCCAGGAAATGCGGAGTACTACACATGAAGGAAACATCCAGACACAGCAAATGAAACGGAACTAGGTTCAGGTGTTAAAGAAAAATTATAAGCAGCTTTTTAACATACTAATATATATATATATAATACATACATATACATATATAATAAATATAGAATAATGACCAACCAGTCACTGATGGAACAATATTCTATTTGTTAAATCGTTCAGATCGCTGGTCGTTAAATTAATTTGTGCAGATAACTTTATTTTCACGTGAATCGATACAAGATTTTCTTCTTTATTTCCCTCGTCTGTCCCATGATCGATGGATTAAACAATTGTTCATTGATTATAAATTGTTTATAACAAAACTTAAGCATAATCCCAATCTAATTCTCCAAAGATAATTCCCGAATTGCCTTACCCGTACTTGAACTCAGATCCGCCTGGCAGGGTCTCAAATTGCCCGGCCCCGGCTAGGCGTTCAGTTTGGTCATAAATGTTCAAGGAACGTTTTTTTTTCAATCAAGTGTAACAAAAAGGTTTTGATGAAATAATCCCATGGCTCGTATGATTAGTATATGTCAGCAAGACACTTAAGGTAGAGTCATATCTCTCGACAAAACAGTTAAGATCAATAAGTGTCAACGAGACGGTTAAGATTGGCATCTGTCAACAAAACAGTTAAGATTGATATCCGTCAACAAGATATTTAAGACTAATAGCTTTTAAGGAAAAGATTATTTTAAGACGTTGGAAATGAGACTTAGCTGGAACGGTAAAAAATAAAAAATAAATGTATCTTCCCACTTAACAGTTTAAGGTTAACGGTTGAAAGTTAATAGTTTAAGGTTAAGGGCTTAAAGTTAACAGTTTAAATTTTAAAGTTAACAGTCTAAAGTTAACAGCTTAAAGTTAGTAGTTGAAAGTTAACAGTTTAAAGTTTAACAGTTGAAAGTTAACAGTTGAAAGTTAGCAGTTGAAAGTTAACAGTTTAAAGTTTAACAGTTTAAAGTTAACATGTTTTTCTTATGTATATATTATTTCAGCCGTTTACATTATATAATGTGGTTATTGTAGTCTATTGTTACATACCTCGTTTTTTATTGTTAAACATATCATAAAATATCTAGCACAGTGGCGCACACTCATTTTGAACAACTAAATAGCATTGAATTATATTTTTAAAAAACAAAATTAAATCTTTGAAATACCATTGAGGTCATACCTAAAAAATTAATTTAACGAAGCCAGGGGGTATAGAGATCCCTAGAGTGTAGCTCAACACACACATTACTATTTACATTCAAGGTGTCTGCTACACCAATACAGGTGAATCTTGTGGTTACCGGAAATTTGTTTTTAAAAGAAATTTCGACGACGGAAAATTGATCGACGGAAATTTCATCGAACGGAAATTTGTTTGAACATTTTTTTTTCTTCAGTTGACACGTTAAAATGTTTGCAAAATTTCTTTTTCAAAAAAGAAATTTGACGTCAAAATTTTAACGTGTGAACTGAAAAATAGATTCGATAAAATTTCCGATTGATCAATTTTTGGTCGAAGAAAATCTTTCAAACAATTTTGCGGATAGGGAATCTTGTTAGTGTTAATATGCATGTCCTTTAGGCCTAGGTAAATCCTTGTGGCTCAACTTAATTGCAACTAGAATATCCTTTACCTTTTTAATCCTACATTGCTAATTTTATGCGCCAGGCCAGAACTGACGACTGGCTTACGACTGGGACGATTGTGCAAGTGTTGAACTCTGAGAGTAGAAATATTGGGACGGCTAGGTGAGAGAATGGAACATGGAACACGAA